TGATGACACAATCAGATGGTTTCAGGTCTTTCCCATGGCAATTGCTGCTAATGGTGCCTCAATTTCAGCATAATTAGGAAGAGATCACGTGACCCAGGAATGTGACCTCTTTTGCAACAAATTGTAGCTTTGACAGGCTGGCTTTATGGCCCTGTTTAGCCAAATGAGTCAGCAAGGCGATGGTGTCTTTAACACAGCCCTCTCTGGTTTCACTTGCAACCAAAATGTCATCAACATACTGCAACAAAGCACTTCCTTTAGGCAGTAAAAAAGTTTCCAAACTATCTCTCGAAGCAGAATTTCAAATCAAAATGCAACCCAGAATTGACTCTCTTGGTGTACTGGAACAGTGAAAAAAAAAACATTTGACAGTTTAACAACTGAAAACCATTTGCTATCAGCTGGAACTTGGGACAGAATTGTATTTGGATTTGGGACCGTAGGTGCCCTGGCCTGCACAGCAGCATTCACAGCTTGCAGGTCTTTGCACAAATCTCCACTCTGCAGGTTCGCCATCATGTCGTATTTTATGCACAGGAAATATGAGCGTCCTCACAGGAGAGTTTGCACATGGAACAATCACGGCTGCTTTCAACAGAGAGGATATTGATTATGACAGGGTCTGTTGTCTGGTTTAGGTGTTATTATCACAGGCTCGCAGTTTTTTATCAGACCAACATCAATCAATCAATCATTTTTATTTGTAAAGCCCAATATCACAAATCACAATTTGCCTCACAGGGCACATCATGTTTACTTTTGGCCCAGAGATAAGCGGGAACCTGCTGTAGCTCTGGGATGTCTGCAACGGATTTAACCATGCACATGTCAGTATCAAAACCCAGTCTTGTCTGCAAACACGACTGAACGTGAAGTCTCAATGGCACAATTTAGTTTCTTTTGGTACACCCTCATTTCCTCATTAAAATCAATATGAGGATCAGTTGTAGACGTCCAGCATGGAGTAGCGTTCAGGTCCCGCACCCACAGACCCAGGTCTGCGCAGTTGGGATTTACCAGTGAGATGTGTGAATCAGAGTTTTGTGACAAAATCAATTCATGCATTCGATCAGGAAGTTTCACCGAGACAGCACAATTAATGTCATTCCAATACAACCAATCTAGCTGTAACCGATCCTTTTCCTGTCCTGTATTACATCAGATGTCCTCATAATCACGGTCAGTGTGAGAAATAGGAATCATGTGCTGTGCAGTGCAGACATGTGACGTCAGCGTGTGTGTGTGTGTGTGTGTGTGTGTGTGTGTGTGAGAGCTGCAGCAAAACAGAGGGAGGGAGATCCATCTTCAACTCGATCGCACACAAACTGTGTCAGCGTGTTGAAAAAAAAAACAGAACTTTCCTTCATTTCATTCACTCTCCTCACCTGAATGGTGTCAGGTGTACAAATCAAAACAATTCCCAACATACACATGAGATCTCGTCCCATCAGATCGATAGGGCATTTGTCAGAATACAAAAATGAGTGTCAGGATCAAAACAATTCAGCGGAGCAGTGTATTTTTCAATAATCGCTATTCCTGCAACCCCAACTGTTTTCTGATATCTCCCACTCAGTTTAGGTTTAGCCTTCGGATGAAAATCACAACGTCTTACGACTGATTCTGTGGCCCCTGAATCCACCAAGAAAGAGAGTTCCACACCTTTAACTGACAGTGTGTATTGAGGCCTCCTTTTTGTATGCCTCCGCTGAAAAATCAGCCAGCATATTGCTATGCTCACTCTCTCTCTGTTTAGATTCAAGGTGCAGAATCGTGTCAGAAACAAGCTCATACTCTGTATCAGTCATGATGTGCATGTTGTGTGTTTCTGTATTTGTGTTAGTGTCAGTGTTCTCACGTGTCTGAAGCGTTGGTTGGTTTTCCAGGTCAGTGTCGTCACCNTGCATGTTGTGTGTTTCTGTATTTGTGTTAGTGTCAGTGTTCTCACGTGTCTGAAGCGTTGGTTGGTTTTCCAGGTCAGTGTCGTCACCAGATTTGTCCGTCCTCGTGCTCTCACCACATAGTCAATCTGACTCATCTGCCCCATCTTTTTTCTTGTTGTTTCCCCCTTTACGGCAGTTTCTTGCCCAGTGTCTCTTTCTGCCGCACTTGAAACAACGGTCATTGTCTTTTTCCCCTTCTTTTGATTTTCCTCAAGTTCGGTTAGTCCACCATACTGCATCGCTGCTTGTCTCAGGCGGTATAGACAAGCAGAGACAGTCTCATCTGCATCCTGCTTAACCGCCACCACTTTTCCTCAGTCCAAATGAACAGGGAACTCCTTTTTCAATCTTGTCATCAGCTGAAGAACAATGTCTCTGTAAGCAGCGCTGATTCAGAGAGGCCAGCTGCTCCCTCTGGTTCGTGGTGTTCAACATACGGTGGAGGCCGTACAGGTGGAGCCGAGTCAAGGTCCAAATCCAGCTTCGAACACTGCGCCCAGAAACCTTTGGGGCCCTGCCTATGCTTGGCTTCCCTCATCCAACTATTAAAAGCTGACCAATCTGCCTGGAACTTGACCTTACCTCCAAACTTCTCTTCTACACCCTTTCTTTCTAAGTCTGTCAACCTCACCTCTAAAGCCTCGAGCTGTTTAATGTTTAGGCTGCCTGTTCTCGGGAAACAGCACTTATTGACCCACAGATCTAACTGAGCCACCCTCTCCTTTCCATAATTAATCTCCATAAATCTCACGTTGGGAGCGCCATAATCAGGCTCAATTTTCCCCTTTGAGGTTGTGCTCTGTCCAAATCCCATTGTAATCAAACTCAGTTTTCTTAGTAGTATTAGAAGTAAGTCAAATTTGTGGAAGCAAAAATCAATCACAAAAAATGTGCAAACTTATCACTTTAAAGGAAAAAAAGTTTCTACCTTTACCCTAAAATGCGTACGACTTACAAAAAGGAAATAAAGAAAAACACGCTTCACTCACTCTGTCTGTTCCACTTTGATACCAAGTGTCTCTACTTCTCCTTTAACCCAGACAGCTTCTCACCACCTTTTCTTTCACCTTTAACGGCTGAAATAACATTAGGTTATGTTAGGTTCCTAACCTACACTACTTTAGGTCCCTGACCTAAACCGAGCTCACCATTTTTCCTGCACTCAGTTTCCCAGAAACTGTGCCTGGCACGTCTGCCAACTGATTTCAAGAGGTGGAAAAGACTTGTCCTGCGCAGTCCTCAAAACTCACCAGAAAAGACAGCGAGGTGTTGACAGCCACCAAGTTTGTTGGACCCCAACGGTGAAGGGAATCCCGGTTTTCCAGACATCAGGCCCTCTTCTCAACCTTCCTTTGTGGGGGAATTTGAGGTGGTAAGAGCCTCAGCTCTTGCTGTGCGCACAGTCTTCACACCTTCAGTCCAGAATTCCAGAATCCACTCACAGATGAGGTCCCTTCGTGGTCGCCAATTTTGTGGTGGCAAAACTACTATTTAATGAACAGTTTAAAGAAAAAGTCTTCACACGTCGGCTGTCTTTCTTGAGTTTTAATAAGCATTTATGAATGGAGACACTCAAACATACAACCGCATGAACAGTCAGTCAGTCCGTGAGTGCCTAGCAAGTCCTCTCGCCCTGCTATCTTTATATTTCTCATAACACATGCACATCAACAGTCAAAATATGTGGCGCCTTGACATTCCTAAAACACAATATCTCTTGAGACTAACAAGGACACTTGTTGTCCTCCCTGGCTCGTGACCTTGGTGTCTCTCACTGCTGTCACAGTAGGGGTTAAATGAGCGACACACATCATTAGGTTAGAAGTTCAGTTTCATCAAAACAAGTAACCTTATACAACACACTATAGATTAAAGGTGTTTAAATACCAGAATTTTCCATCACAACCCTCTCCTGGACCCCCTGCAGTTCGCCTGTAGGTCTACAGGTCTGTGGACGACGCTGTCTCTCCACTTCACCCTCCAGCATCTCGACTCCCCAGGAACCTACGCCAGGATCCTTTTTGTGGAAAACTGAGCTCTGCCTTCAACACAATCATCCCGGCTCTGTTACAAGATAAGCTCTCCCATCTGAGTGTGCCTGACTCCACCTGCAGGTGGATCACTGACTTCCTGTCTGACAGGAGACAGCACGTGAAGCTGGGGAGACATGTTTCTGACACCCGCACTAACAACACTGGATCCCCCCAAGGCTGTGTTCTTTCTCCTGTGCTCTTCTCCCTGTACACCGACAGCTGCACCTCCAGTCATCAGTCCGTCAAGCTCCTGAAGTTTTCTGATGACACCACCCTCTTTGGACTTATCTTTGACGGTTATGATTCCGTCTACAGGTGGGAGATTGACCAGCTGGTGACCTGGTGCAGGCTGAACAACCTGGAGCTCAACGCTCTTAAGACAGTGGAGATGGTTGTAGACTTCAGGAAGAACCCAGCCCCACCCACCCCCATCACCATGTTTGATTCCCCAGTTGACACTGTGGAGTCATTCTGCTTCCTGGGGACCACCATCACCCAGGACCTCAAGTGGGAGCTGAACATCAGCTCCCTTACAAAGAAAGCACATCAAAGGATGTGCTTCCTGCAACAGCTGAAGAAGTTCAACCTGCCAAAGACAATGATGGTGCACTTCTTCACTGCCATCACTGAGTCCATCCTCACCTCCTCCAATTATTTATAGTATTTCCCTTTTATACTTATGCTTATAATTACTCTATGTTTTTATATATTTTATATTCTTTGTTATGCACCAAACCAAATTCCTTGTATGTGAAAACCTACTTGGCAATAAAACCGATTCTGATTCTGATTCTAATCATGAGAAACCTAGAAAATAGTTGATGAGGTTCCCTACTTGAGTGTACGTGAAAATACCAAATTATCATCACACATCAATTTATGACTCATTGATTCAGAGTGATTCGGGATTAACTATGCATTGCTTTTTTTAATTGTTCCTCCCTCTGGCTTTGTGCATGTCACCTGTTAACAAACCAAGGCGCACTAGACTTCACACATTAAAATAAGCAGCATGACGCAACTGTTTCAAATACCATTTCACAGTTTTATTCACCACATTGTGTCACTGAACTTTACATTTCAGATAAGTCATACTAGCTAGAGCTAGAGCTTCCCATCACAGAAATAACATCACTATCCAAACATCTTCTAATGCTCTTTGGGGCCACACTATTTTCTTCTGACCAGTCTTATTGCACCAGCTTTAACAGTATCACCCTAGTGAAGTTAATGCTTTTAAGTTTCTGGTTATGTACTGAGAAATCGTACAATAAAAGGTAGATCTTTTGATTCAGTAATGAAATTAATTTTATGTGTACAGTTTGCGTTGATTCAGATATTGATGAATGACTCTGATGCACCAGTACTGCTTGAGTTAGCAGCTTCTGACACGCGGTAGATATCTGAAAGACAAATAACAAATTGTTTGTTTTGTATAATTGTATGTTGATATATGTAAATGGGGAAAAAATGCTAAATTTGAAAACGACATACATCGTCTTCCACGCAGTCGACTTATCCAGCTTAGTCCACTGACAGAAGAAATGCCAGTACTTGTACTCTGGTAGAAAAAAAAAATGTGTAAAAGTTATTGCATTTAACAAGTCTGTAGATTTATCCATAGGTAGGATACATCAGGGTCAAAACGTGCAAGAGTTTATGCAAT